AGTAACATCTGGAATGAGTAACACGAATCCGGAGAGAGGGGGAAGCGTGCTTCGTGCGAACACGGAGAGGGTTAAGGGCATTTGGCTTGACCCCCTGTCAATGTTTACTCTAGGTGTCTAGGGGCGATAGTGTTTTCATTACTACCTCCTAAAATATGCTTCCAATGAGCCATCTCAGTAACTCCTCGAACATGTATCAGCTGACGCCTTGGGACTACCCATAAAGCCAAAAACGACCGATGCAATTTCAACAACACAAACGAAACCGAACGGAATGGGGAAGCGATCAACTTGGTTTTCCAGATCCGGTTGGCATAAAATGCACATACGCTGGACGAACATTCGAATAGCCAAGTATTCATGGCAGATTGTCTTTCTGCACTTCCACAACCGTTTATACCAAGTATCTTGAAGACTAAATGAGGTAATGACACACGGAAAGACATCCGTGTAACACTGAGATTTAGCATTGTGTACGGGACATGTGTGTTAGTAGGTTACTTGCGCCGCAACTTAGATGATCTATTGTCTATATAAAAATGTCCCGGTTACATCCATGCATAAAACCAAACCATGGACAGCTCTGCATGTCTGATCGCATTGTACAAGTAAATACGATTCGTCCCTTCGTGAGGAAGGTTTCACTGTTCCACTGAAACTACACACTTTCAACGTTCAACGTTACAATGATATTTCGATTGCAAGCCCTAGCTATCACAATTGGTGTTGCAGTACTTCTATCTTTAAAAGTTTCGGAATTGGTCCCTTACAACGACCCGGTAGGAATACGCAAGTTTCGAATTAGAATAACTGTACTAACAGTACATCGCGATATATATATATATATATATATATATATATATATATATGATCTACCTAAATCTGAGGCTGGCATACTTGGCGTCGCTTCTGTCTGCGATCAAGTACCATCCAGGCGGTAGTGGTCCTAGGCAGATATGGCAGTTGCAACGCCATTCCGCTGATCAACTGAAGTGGTGATACGGTGAGCACGAGTATTTTAATCCTGAACTACACATGGCCCTATTTTATATCTGTCTCCCTGAGACTTATGTTATCTTGAAGAACCATGTTTTGTGGAAACCGGAGGATGGTATGACATGGTCGTGGTCATAATTTACTGAATGAGCAACACTCGCGTCTTCAGTGGTACAATTTATAAACCTGGTTTTACTCATCTATTACTCTATTCACGATTAGTGTCATGATTATTTACACTCGTGAAATTTTGAAATCATTATGCGTTTCCGCGCAATTTATAGACGCATTTAGATTTATCCGAAGCAACGAGAAACATTTACAAACGACGTAATAAATTTGCAAAGAAGTACCACGCTAGCTGCAGGGTTGCTATGCGGAAGAAAAATTTGTCGAGTATGAGCATACTTGTTTTTCTCAGCACCAACATCCGCTCACTTCTTGGAAAAATGGAAGAACTTAAGAGCAACATCTGCTGTCGCTAATACTCGCAGCTAGGAGTAATTATCCTACAGGAAACCTGGCTTCAAAAAGATGTTGAAGATGCTATCGTAGCTGTTGACGGTTTTATTTTCCACCGTGCTGATCTCCTATGCAAGTTCTGCAGCAGGGGTGGTGGTGTTTTCACCGTTATTAACGCTTCCTGGTGCTCATCAGTGAAGAAAATATTCCTCTATTCGTTACAACCTTCCGACTGCCTAGTTCTAAACAGTAGGTTAAAATATCTGAGTGGATACAGGTCAAGTTTGCTAACCAACATTTATATATATCCCCCAGTTGCCCAAGCTCCGAAGCAGACAAATTTTTACGATGACTTCACGGCTACTGTCATTGTACACGTCGACCATTCCCTGTGCATATTTGCTGGTGATTTCAATAGGTTTGACACCAAATTCCAAGCAACACTTTGGCTACCGAACATCGTGAAATGTCTCACCAGATTAGAAGCAACCCTGAACTTAGTGTCTGTTAACAACCTGAAGATATTTTCAGTCAGTACTCGAGAACCACTTGAACGGTCTGATCATTTGATAGTCAAGCTATCTCCTGTCGTCTACAATAAGATGAACCACAAGTAAGTCACTCGCTGCAGGAAACGTAAAATTAAACGGAGACAAGCCAGTCCTCCAAACATAGCACAACTGAAAGAAATGGTTGCCTCTACAGATTTCAATTTGTTTTTCGATGCAGATGTCTCAACATATTGTGACCGGATAACATGTTATCTGAACTTCTGTTTGATCTCTGCTGTCCAATGGAAACTATTCTCATCCGTACTGACCGGTTCTCACCACTCCACAAGCAGCTGCGCCGACTTAAGGAGAGGGTCTTCAAAGTTAAAGATCGGGCCTCAACGAAATTTCTTTCCCTACGCATCAGGGAAGAAAACTCACCACCTCAGTCATGTCTATGTCCCGACAATTATGCGGAACAATGATTGCCATGAGATTTGGCAGATGATGAAACAATTTAGTGGAGTCACTCGTCATAGTATGAACTAGGACATAGACGTAGAAGAATTAAATCGCAACCTCTTCTGTTCTAGCAGTAACTCACTCCCCAACTTGTCATCTGAACAGAGTCAGTGAGCTAGAGACTCATCGCCAGTTGTTGGTGTTGCAGCGCTTCACAGGAAACTTATCCAGCTAAACTCAAGTAAATCAGACGGACCTGAACGGTTGTCTCCCTTCGTCCTTAAGGAGTGTGCAGATTAGTTAGCCCGACCGCTAGCTGAGTTGTACACCATGTGCCCAAACCAGAGGAAGATCGCAAACTGTTGGAGAGCTGCTAGCATAACACTAATACCGAAGAAAGCGACAGGCAAATATCGACCTATTGCGTGCATGTCATTGGCTCTAAAGGTCTTCGAGAAATTCATTCTTGATAACAATTGCTAACACAATCCTGTCTGAATGATACACATCAATTTGGATACCGAAATTTGAGGCTGACACAAGAAGCAGTGGCTTGTCTAGTGCAATCAGTGACGTCGTCATTAGACAGCACGAACAAAGCCACACGTGTATGTTTCCTTGACTACACCAACGTCTTCGGTTGTGTTAACCGTATAATCTTGTTGCATGATATGGCTTCTGGTATCCAACCATCCATAGCCTTCTTGCTACAGGATTATTTTGCCAAACGTACTCAAATAACCTGGTTCAACAGCAGGATCTCCTTGCCTCTTACCACCACTTCCGGTGTCTTTCAAGGAGTCATCTTGTTACCATTCTTATTCTCTAGCTACCTTAGCTCCATCCTTGTCCTTGAACAAGCCATACTGCTAAAATCCGCCGATGGTTTACTAAGAGGCGCGAATCATCTAACTTCAGTCACTTCGACCATGTTCCAATGTTGTTTGGGTACAATTGTGCACTGGTCAAACTCCCGCAGCTTAACGCTGAATGCTTCCGAATGTAATGTACTGTTTTCACTGCATAAGATGAATCGCTACCAGAAACTCGTCGCTAACTGTCCCCAACTTCACAGCAGTGGGGAAAGCCTGAGCTTCTCGACGTCAGTGAAGTATCTGGGAATAACACTGAGGCATGATTTATCGTGATCAATTCATGTGCATGAAGTATTCATCAAAGTCAGGCAACTGTCCTTTTATGTCTCACGTCTTCGTTGGTCCTCAGTCTCCCACCAGTTGATGCTGCGATTCCTCGTTGCATGTGTTCTACCCCACACTGGACCTATTGTTCTCCTCTGATCTTTCCGGGCCTATTGACTAAGCATTTCAAACTACTTCATAGGTCGCTGAAGCACGAATCTCGATGCAGTGACATTTTTAAAACAACTTTAGTTCAACACATTGTATCTGTTCATGTTAATTCATGCTCAAAACATGCTTCGAAAATACTCTCATATCAGCCATTCTTTACATAGCGTTTTATCCAACAGCAAATCTATTTCCTCAATGCGACGAAACGACAGAGCCACATATGCCAGCACGCGAGCCTACGGCTCATCTGTCATACCTTAAATGGTCAGATTTCTGTTTGATCTGAATAGTACCCTTCAAAAAGCAAATTTTGTTAGTGATCCTGTCTCACACATGGACCATTGTTTTGGCCGCTGTTATTTTTTTTACTGTCATTGCGTGTGTTATATTGTTTTTCTTTACCATTTCGATCACGGGTGTTACCACTGAAAACACCTTTCATAGGTGCATAAAAACTAATTCTTGGCTTGATTTAAAATGCATGCAACGGATGACAGGCGATGCGCCATGAACAGCTCGCACTCATTTGGCACAACACATCATCTGGTAATGCACCTCTTCACAGTGCCGCGCGGTGCCTCATATACAGTCTTACAGAGGCCAAGCGTGGTGTTCTAATAGCTTCTTCGTGTCACTCCTTCCCCTCCTCCTTCTCCTTGAGTACGGTCACGCAGACTTCCAGAGGTATCTATTCCATTCCTGAAAATTCTCGCGCTGATTCCGCAAGCATCTCCTATCCATTGTTGAGGCTATCTATATTCGCATCCTCGAGCCAAAGCTGTGCGACCAGAAGCAACTCCTACGCCAGGTACTTTTACCGTAGCCCACATCTGTCGGCACATGATCATTAGATTGCTTTTTACCCCTGTTAACCTCTGATTGGTCGTGAAAATAGTTATCCAATTAACTTCATATAAAGTTGTCCATTTCCGTCCAAACAACTGGCTATTAGATGACCTTTTATGGTGCGGTAATGTTGACCAGACGAAATCAGTGTTAATTACTAGTTACTCTGAGTTAAACAGCTTTAATCCCTTGAAATATCATGTGTATACAATGTTCAACAGAGAAAGATCAGTGTATCCTTCCGATTTGTGAGTCACGTACAGTTAAAGTGAACAAAGTCCTACTGTGGTTATGTTCAGAACACCATCTCAACCGGAAAAGGATTTGATTCTTAAACCCTAACTTCTTGCTGTGGATGCTGATAAGCAAGAACTAAATGAAGGGACCAAAAGGCATCATCACTGAACCTCTGAGCAGTGAGCTATAAACGTACCTTGGGGATTGCGGCGTTTATCGGTTGAGTTACGGTATGGTAGCAACGGTTAGCGGTAATTCCAGTGCTAGTCGGATGATTTAGCCCCGTTGCAGTTATCGCCAGAATGCGTAATTTCGAATCTTGAAGTAAACGGGATCTAAGACGAGGAGGTAAATACACAAAGACGCCGATTTGATGAACGATGGGGTAGATGAAAGCAGGACGCTGAGGACCAAGGTCGCCTTCGATCACAGGCTTTGATGAGTTATCCGGGCGATGAGTAAACGAGCAATTACGGGATAGTGCACGATACACCAAGCGTACTCATTATGGGATGGGGTTTAAAGTAGACCCCGATTAAGACGGCTCTCTCCCTCTATCGCTGAAGACGACAAACGTGAAGCGGGCAGATCGGTGTGTCTGTGTGTCGCGCTCAGTACGTTACATTGCCTGTGACTTGTATTCACTTAAATTGCTACCTCCTTATCTGGTGGATTGGGAAATTGACGATTGACTGTCGCCCGATGTACACGCGGACACACGCCGCAACTCCCAAGATCCATTAACCTATCTTATCGTGCAGTCTAGTCAGTGATGTCTATCTCTCCCGGCCCTCCCAATTTCCGTCCCCGAAAAGCTATGTGCGTGTGTGCATGAGGTGTGCCCGCATCCGAAAATGGGAATGGTTTCTCTGGACAGAGAAGGTAAGAGGGAGGTGAGTTGACTAGAGCGAACCAATCCGTGCGTACGTGTGGACAATTTGTCTCAGCCCCGATACGCTGGCCTATCGGGGATCGCATTGTGCGTGAAAGATCGCGTAAGGGAGACATGACTATGGCGGGTGAGAGATTGCAATCTTCTTCTAATTCACCCATTTTGTTGGCATTTGAAGGCCATGCGATCAACCAATACGAGCAAGGCAGCCTATCGAGCGTATTCACGTGCCAATAGATAGTTATCAGCCGAACTATAGATACAATACTAATAGTAATGCATATTTCTCGCGATACCGAGAAACCTTGCCCACAAAGGAACAGGTCGTATTTGCATGTGCAACACGCTCACGCATGCAGGGCTGTCAATGGTTGGGGTTTATACAAGGATGCAATAGATACGCTTTTATGAAGATCTTCATTTGGAGATTTTACTGTCGTTTTCTACCAGTTCCCAGGCATTCTCAGTTCTTTGATTCCGGTGCAGATCGGGGGCCCCATGAAGGCGGCGGTTTCATGGAACGGTAAAGAACATGAAAGGAGAAGAAGCAATTGGAGCCATCAATCGAAATCACCTGAGTAGTACACAATCGTAGTAGTACAAGTCGAGTTAGCAGTGAGTAGCGGTAACATCATACTTGGTGAAATTTTAGTCAGATCTCAACGATTAATATATCAATGTAGCTTTATATGAATCATAAAAGCTTCAGCTGCGTTATCCGAATGGTGTAAGGTAGTATGCGTGTAGGAGGGGGAGTTAAGGTAACTTGAGGTGCTTGGACATTCCTAGAGCTATATATCGGATTGACCTGATCAAACAATATTGTGTGTTACTAAGTTGTTGTGAGGCTAGGTAGGCTCAGTTGCTTCCCTTCCAGACCTCACTTGTAGGTGTAGATTTATGGCTTGCGTGGCCGTACAACGGAATTGGTACTTTGGAGATGGGAGAACTAAACAGAGAAATAAATAAACGGTTGTTCTCTGCAATGCTAAACATACTCATCAAGGCATGGTCAGCGAATTACGGCCTTGTACAAAATATCGAACACAGGGTGATTAGGAAAGCGTACAGATAGCTAATCTGTTTTCGGAATGGAGATAGAAGGGAAAGGCACTGCAATACAATTAAAAACGCAGTCTAGGGAATAAATTAATAGGTGATATCGATGAGACAATAGGAAGCTATACTTGAAGTAACCAAGATCAAGTGACACAACGGATTCAAGGTAAAGAAGGCAGTATACTAGGAGATATCAAGCGAAGTCATACGGTAATCCATGGAATCGCCTCTTTTGAACCTGCCACCATGCGGGGTAGTCTGTCGAGATGTTTCACCCGCAACCCCACCCCATCTGGTTGGGTGTCGGCGTAGCTTGAATGCAGGATAGTCACCACCGATTTTAGTTATCATTTGGGCTTCTTATACTTATGCTGATCACTCAAGCCAGTCAGATAGTTATTCATTCATATTATATGGTGACCAGAGGCGAACGAGACCAGATTTCACCCATGGGGGGTTACATGAACGACCGAACCGGTTTGGCTTGATCTAACCGCCGCTGGTAGCGCGATTTTTCGTCCGTTTTCAGGGTTGTTCGCAGTCGGAGGTGCATGATACTGTTTAGGGATACAAGTGTGTCTTCACTGTCCCCATACGCTTTGCTTTGGTGAACCGTGTAGAATGTCACAGCCTCTTATTTGCAGTAAATGTTCACCAAGTATCTAGAGTAGATGTTCATTATCTATGCCATTTCTCTACGTATAGGCTAGAATCTGCAATAGCTAACGTTACAAACCCCACGCTCACATACTTAGACATGTAATCGCTATCCTCACTGTACGCGGAACTCCTTCGTACGCAAACTGATGCGACCTGACACAATTGCACGCTCAGTAGCTCACATATTTTATGTTAGTATCTGCGTGCATGGGTGTAACGCGGACCCAGCACGTGTGTGGCTCGCAATAAGGACGCTTCAACGTTTGAGGTACACAAAATTGTTTCACAAGGAAGAAATGGGACATAGACCACTTGATTGGTTGTCATACGAGCTGCCAGTGGCTTAGTGCGCCTCATGGATGTGTAAACATGATCCGGTAACATCAGCCCTCCAGTACATGTGGTAAAAGAATCGGGGTATCCAAATGAAGCCTCTTTCACCAGATAAGTAGAATTTTCCGCGCCACTGTCTTCTTGATTTCAACATGTCGGCTTGTTTCCTTGCATCAAAAATTGACCTTCTGCTTCCACCCGGTCCGAGTAAATCAACCGCACCACATTCGAGAGAAAGAAGGAGTTAAGGAATCTTCGCAATGCATAGAGGAGACTAAATTCTTCCACGCAGTGTGGTAGCACATGCCGTCCGTCAAAGTGTGACGTGGATTGCACTTTCTGAGTGGCAAACTAACGGGGTTCCACTGTGTATCTTTTTCTATTATGGTAGGGGTGTGCAACGGATAGACTATTTCCCTACTCTTGACTGCAGTGTGGACAGTCATTACCCAACACACAACAGAAAAGCGTCCACGGGCGATCGACAACAGGTACGCCACTTGCATCCACTTCTCCACGGATGTGTTGAGGACTGAGTTGTCACACAATGAAGTGAATGGGGAATTAACGGATTTTGGGTAATCACAAACGAATGGGAAAAAGCGGTTCCTGTTTGCAACTTATCACCAATTGCCAGTTGGGAAGAATAGTCCTTACTGAACCAAATGCATGGTGGAGGGTTTCGATGTTGCTGTCCCCCGTCACTGAAACCTTAACATTCAAATGCATAGTGAGTTGCTGCTCGGAATCGGAGTGCAAGCACAAACTTCCGCCACAGCCTACACCTAGCGCTGACGCGGTTAGCAATCCAACTTAGGAAACCTTGTGTCAGCTAGCGGTCTTATCATTCCATTCTTTTTTACTTCTGTGACGTCGGAGTGTATGGCGTTCAGGGCACGTGAGTCGTACCCCTACTATTGTAACTAGCTTTCCACCTGTCCTGGACACCAACATTTTCCCCGGCTTAGCTGAGTAGATTTACTTTGCACCATACCGTTTGCAAGCACACACACACACACAGTACTGTTTCTCTCGCATGCCCTGAGCTATTTTGGCTGAAAGCGTATGTGGACGATTGACCAGCCGACATCTAAAACGAATATCTGTTAAAATTGTTGGAGCTCAGGTGTGTTGAATCATTCGGCACCAAAGTGTAACCACGAAAAGCACCTGTTCAATGGTTGGGTTCAGCCCGCCTTCATGCTTCCCCGGGATGCAGAGAGATCAAACATAAATACTCCGGGTGGCTTTTTTTCCATAGTTTGCCTTTGGGAGACGAGGAAACCGGCTGTAGAGGGTTGATTTGCTAATATGGAGGATGATATCTCAGTTGCCTGTTTTCAAGAAATTCGACGGCGCAGTACATGATACGCTGTAAACGAAAAATAGTAATTTGGAAGACATTTGTTTCCTGCGTGGTTATGGAGAAAAACATTGGCACATGGCTGTCAGCAGTGTTGAACTGGGAAACAAACATACTAGCCGAATGAACATTGCTTACCGAAACGTTAAGACCAAGAAGAAAATGCATACTTTTTAGCATGATTACATCAACCATCTCTGTTTACAGTAGCTATGACGTCACAACAATCTTGCAAACCCAAGTTAGCCTTAGTAACGGAAGCTAAGCGCTTAAATCTACGGGTTTGGCAGGCAGGATATGCCAGCCACTTCGTAGAAACGGGAACCCGGTGTGTTGTTTGCTCCAAACAATCTGAGTCCGTATCAAAAAGTGCCAACCGTTATGTTGGCCTATTGCGGAGGGCATTAAGGAATTCGTATCTATCCATCTCCTCACGGATACTCAATGTTTACTTGTGTCCCATGTCGAATACGCTATGCAGCTTTGGCAACTTTGACTAAACCTGAACATACTCGAAGTGTTCACTGGACGCTATCGGCGGCTACGCGCAGACCTCACATTAGTATACCAAACACTCATTCCCAATACCAACCTGAGAGGCAAAAGCTGAAAGTAAGCCAAAGATACAGACGTCTAGATTGGCGACGAATTTACTTCTTCCTACGTATTTGCTAGTTTTTGAACACCCTCCCGAAGTGCCTTATCGTTGCCCACACATAAACCATTTCCAAAAAGCACTTTAATATCTCACACAGCTCCCTATACTTTGTTACTTGAACGGATACTATAGAATGTATTTCGGATAAATAGCTTATTGGAAATGACACAGGTAAATCAGTGCAGGTGGATGAGCAATTCGATGGTTAAAACTCAAGGCAAGCACACATATATTTTAAATAATTCTTTATCTGGCTTGTACCATTAAATGGTTCCTATTATATGGTTTCTAACGATGAGCAATAAACAAAAGTGTAGCATAGAAGGCGGGGACGGTCCGCCCCGGGCGGCATATGAAAGGGGCACCATTTTCAGTCATCATTTGATTATTCAGTATACACGCTAGCCGCAGGTGGAAAATACCTCAGCTATGATGCCGCAAACACAAAAGAAAAGAAGTGCAACAAAGACATGTCGGCTGAGTCCCCAGTAACGGATGGACATCGTTCCAGAGAGCTAACGGACGCGTATTGTGCCGCAGCAAGTCATCTAATGCTTATTAATTCTGATTGTGGTTGGAGGTGGAGGCTAAGCGGAGGGGGATGGACAAAGTGGTTCACAACACAAATGCCACTGAGGTCGGCTCGTAGTCGTGTCAACAAGTGCATCCAAACAAATGTGTTCGCCATCCTTCGGTTCCCAACCAGGGAGCCGAGGGGCTCCAACCGAGGACAACTTCGAAGGAAGCGCCTTCATTCCTC